GTACTTAAGGGATATCTCTTTCCTTTTCCACAACCACTATAAATTAACATGTCCTGGTCACCTCATGCCCTTCAAAATCCTCCTACTTAGTGCTCCTGACATCAAGTCTCATCGTCTTCAAGTTGTGTTATACTCAGCTATAGGAAAATCTTTGATCAAGAGTGCACTGTTGTCCACGCTGACACCACCATCACCGATAATAATCATAATGGTAATTAATAGCTGCCATTTCTTGAGCTAATCACTTTGTACACTTTACTGTCTCATTTAATCTTCATGAAAGGTAAAAATAGTAATTTTATTACTTAGCACCACACAACTTCTCATATCCTGGAATCAGGATTGGACATTGCCACCCTCATTTCTTTTGTTTCACATGGATTTCTGCATAGTATTTGCTTTTTATCACAGCAACTGCTGAAAACTCAACTTGGCAAAGATATGACATCTTGAAAAGGAATGTAGCATGATCTAATGCTGAAGCTGTGAACTATCTTGAGCTAATAGTCCATGCAGTTTTGACAGATGTTGAGTATCATTGTGTTTCCTGTGAGTATTTAAAATATCCCAAGTCACCCCAAAGCGCTTCTGTGCAGTACTTGGGAACTGTGGTCCTAACCAGAAATAATCCCTCCTCACCTCTGTCTTTCTAGATCCTTCATTTGGCACATAGCACAGTGCACTTTGTATTTAAATTATTTGTACACAAGGTTTAACTTCTGCTACTAGCAGTTTAAGTATCATTTTTTGCACACGCCCTGGCACAGAACTTAACATGTTACCTGGTATGTAGAAAATGTTCAACAAGTTTGTCAAATGAATGGATTTAAAAAAATATACTATGTACTTACGTAATTTCTCCTTAGTCAACTGAAATGTCTCTCCTATTTCCCTATCAAAATATAAATTTTTTTTTAATACAACATGCAGTCAATTAAGTGTTGCTGACTAACTGATGGAATGCAGAAAGCCAGTCCTGGAGTAAGTAAGAGACAATTTTGAAGGGGAGATGGACTTTCTTTCTACTTGTACTTTACTTACACTTTTAGGGATAGCATGTATGCAAGTTATTGAGTTCAACTGCACTGAATTCAGAATTACAGAAATGGGAAAATAATGGTGAGGAATATTAGAGTACAGGCTAGTGTTTCTCTGTGCCATTAATGCTATATCATCAATGACAATACTATCAATAATAACAGTAAAGGAAGCTATTGATAGAAATTATACTTTGGAATAAAGTACACAAAAGTAATTATATACTGCTTTAAGAACTGTGTATTATTTTTTATAAAGCTATTGAGGTAGTAACGGATCCTGAGTATTGTGTGTATATCTTTTTCTCTCTCTTTTATTCTTTTCTCTTCTTTTTTTCCTTCCCTCCCTCCCTTTCTTCTTTTCTTAGGCAGGGGCGATGGACTCTATATTCCTTACTACTCTAACAAGTAAATATGCTTCTAATCAATCGAACGCATTTAGCTCCAATTTCATTCAAGAGAATCACAAAGAAATCAATTCTAAAATTTTCTTTAAATGAGTTAAAATGCCGACAATTCTAGTACAACAAACATACACAAAGACATTTGTTTTCCTATTAAAATTAAAGTGGTAAAAATTAAATAGGAAGATGGGATCACGAATACAAGTAATTTGGGGAAATGTCAAGCTAGTCCCCATGATTTTTCTCTCCACTTGGTGTCTATTTCCTGAAGTCCCAGCACTAGTGAAAGATGATCAGTGCTGTCAGTTAATTCACTTTCAGACTAAACTGACTTCAAAGCACAAAGCAAGCACTGGTCACAGAGGAAGCCTTAGTTACCTGCTGTTTCTCTGTCGGCTGAACTCAGTTCTCCGTTAATCCCATTCTCTTTGGTATCTGAATAGGTGCCCTGTGGCTCACGCTCTCCAAAGGCGCCCTCTTCATCCTCTCTGTATGGGAATCCATTAGCGCTTCGGACAAGTCCTTCCCCTGCCCCATCTTGATCCTTAATCTCAGGCGGATGTGGGTGTGCAGATGCCTCTGTTAGTTGAGCTGAGGTCCAGTGAGGTGTCTTTGCTTCGTCTTTCCGATCATCTGCCATTCTTTAATGCCCTGTGACCTCTCCTGTGATTGGAAGAGGAAAAATAGAAGCCATCATTTTAGGAAATCTGATCTTAGTAGTACCAAGATAGGGAAGATTTATAGCAAACTCAGTGGACTAAATAGTCAAAGAAACATATTAAAAACCCACTTATAATATCAAGAGGTTGGAATTGATAACACCTTGGTTTATACAGACTTTCTGGAGCATATTTATTCTTTTAATACAAAATTACTATCAGTCTATATGTGCTCCTTTTTAAATTTATTTTTTACACCTGTGTTTAGCATTTAAGGACACATTTAATTACTTTCACTGACGTATGGTCTTGAATGTTGACTGTACAGTAGAATCAAGGAATCCTTCAGCATGGGGAAAATGTAGTATGAGAAAAGTGGGAAGACAATATAGTGGGAGAAGGAATGGTGAAGGAAAATGCTGGATTATCGAAACTCACTCTAAGTACTCTATTAAAAACACAGCTCTCAGAGAAACCTAGAAAATACAATGGCCAACATATTAGCCCTTTCAATTTCTAAGGTGTTCAGTTCAGACCAGAGGTGGATATGCTTTTCTGGAGATCGTGAATTAAAAGAAAATAGCTTTTACGTGATTTTTCAACCTATTTTCCTGAATTCTATCTATAAATTATGAGGGAATGACGTTTTCCATTATCACAAATTTATGGACAGAAATGACAGGCATATAGTTTTGGGCATTAGTTCTACCTTCTGGTATTATTTCACAGAGAAGCCAAACAAAATGGGGGAAAGGTTAAATCATTGGCCTATATCAGGTAGCTGAAAACTACAGCAAAGGGTGAGTTAGTAGTGGGGCAGGTGTTCTGTACATGTTACATGAACGGCAGATATTGCACGTCCTTCTCTTACATGCTGATGCCACTAAGTTTAAAGATATAATCAATGAGAGGTGATTTACCGCTCAGTTTTGGAAAGCTGTTGCCAGCAATGTAGGATTTTATTGATAAAGAGGCTCTGACATACAGTTGGGCAGACTCTTGCCTCAGCATCCTATTTTTACAAGCCTTGGAGCCCTGGTGGCATAGAGGTTAAGAGCTCAGCTGCTAACCAAAAGGTCAGCAGTTCGAATCCACCAGCCGCCCCTTGGAAACCTTATGGGGCAGTTCTACTCTGTCCTGTAGGATCACTATGAGTCAGAATCAACTCGTCGGCAACAGATTTTTTTTGGTGATATCGTTTCTTTACCACATGAGCTTAATTAAAATTTCCATATTCTTGTATGGTCTAATCTATTTTGTGTGCAGCATGAATACTATAAATAGAAAAGTTTCACATAAAGAAACACATGCCATATCAATGTAGCTTTTTAAAAATTAATAGTTTTTTTTTTTTTTTTTTAGAACAATTTTAGATTTAAAGGAAAACTGAGCGGATAGTCTTAGTCTGGAAGCAGTTGCCAAGAAGTCAATTCCAGTTCATGTCTGGAAGCTCTGCTGAAACCTGTTCAGTGCTGTGTAAATCATACAAAACCAAATGGCCACTGAACTCTTTTTCTGATGTGGAGTGTATTAAAATCTCTGAGAGGAAGTAGGAAATACTTAGGTTTGTACCTTAGCCCGTGTTTAACTCTGGGAGTTGAGCCACTACTCAAAGTAAATAAAACCATATGAGCATCCACAGCTCTCAGCTAAAATTGGCAGTTTTTCCTGATCCCCAGCACTCTTGGGAACAGATTTCTTACTGACTAAAGTATCCTCATCTTAAATTTAACAAGCCATCAACATGGGGAGAATGTTAGCTGTTAATCATCCACTTAAAAGGTTATGATAATCTGATTTCAAGAGACCATACATTTAAAAAGTGAATTTCTTAATGTTTAATGCCTGAGAGTTTTAGATTCTTTCTTCTTAATTGATCAATAAAAACTAATTTTGGAAGAAGAAAGGGCTGGCTAGCCACATTGATTTCAATTAATACCAGAGGCATAAATAAAGCAAATTCATTACCTAATAAGTGCCATCTGACTTCCTGATAAGATTGATAATACTTCTTAAAATGTAGGCAGATTAATCAGCTATGACTTTCTAATTTGTCACGTTTTTGAAATGTACATAAATCATCTATTAAGTGACAATCATCTTAGGCCATTTTAAGCTAGAATTGGCATTGTTGTGACAAAACTACTTTGACAGAAAATATGACTTGAAAAGACTGCCTTTACTCTAGGGAAAAGCTGCTTAATCAAAGGAGACACTACTTGGCCACAGTCACTTATAATGACAGCATGATATTATTAAAATGCCACCCATATGGGAAATTTTACTTAAATTTCTAATCAGAAGTTTGGGGATTATCTTGATTTTTCAAATATATTTAAATATAGCTAAAAGTGTTCACATTCACCTTTAATTTCTTCTTGCTAATTTCTCCAACAACTGTTAATTTGGAGTTAAAGAAGATAAGAAAGCTGAAACAAAGGCAAACCTCCAAATTTATAAGAAATCTGTGAGGTACCAGGAATGTTAACATTCTATTCCTACTATGTAATGGGAGAGGCTCTCATCTCTCCAAATTGCAAAAGATTACAGAGGTTTAAAACTTCGCCTGATTGCTGAACAGCTGGGGATCTGCCACACAATCTTCTGGTTTGATAAAGCAAGCTGAGAAGATACCTGAATTCCACCTTTTCCCTCCCTATCTCCTTACATCACCTAGTTTCATAATGTAAGCAAAGAAATTCTTGAGAAAGTTTAAAAAAAACTTAAGAAATTGACTTATCCTGGACACCCTCTTAACTCAGTACTGAAGTCACTCCTGAAGCTCACCTTTCAGCCAAAGATTAGACAGGCCTATAAAACAAACAATCAAACAATAACACATGTTGTTCAACCATATATTCGAGACTAAATGGGCACACTAGCCCAAAAGCAAAGATGAGAAGGCAGGAAGTGACAGAAAACTGGACAAATGGAAATGGGGAACCTGAGGTTGAGAAGGGAAGAGTGTTGACACATTGAGGGGTTGGCAAACAATGTCACAAAATAATTTGTGTATTAATTGTTTAATGAGAAACCAATCTGCTCTATAAACTTTCACCTAAAGCACAATTTAAAAAAAAATGAAATTGATTTAAAGATTTACAACATATTGTGGGGTTTACATTGCTTTATCTAGAGATTTTGGTCTTTGTCTTTGGTTCCTGAGAGATAACTTACAAAACCTTGGAATTTCCCTAGTGATTGAAGTGTCTTTGATGAATTTCCAGACCACACTTAAGGGTTTAGACTAATGAGGTGACTCAGGTGGGGGCTGGCCAGGCTAGAAAGACCACCACATGATATCAGTTGACCTCAGGGAAGAGGGGGGCATGATTCAATCAATCATGCCTACATAATGAGGCTCCAATAAAGGCTTTGGTACGGAAACTCCATGGGCTTCCTGGTTGGTGAAAGACATCGATGCTGTGGGAGAGCAGTGTATCCCATTTTGGGACATAGAAGCTTTGTGATGGGAATCCTCCCAGACCTCACCCTATGTATCTTTTCATTGGTATCCTTTTTGCTGTAATAAAACTGTAATCCTAAATACAGCACTTTACAGCATATTAGCTAACCCGAGGGAGTAACGGAAGCCTTGAAGTCAGATATGAGGGGGCTGTGGGTACCCTCAAGCTTGTGGTCAGTGTTTGAAGACTTAGACAGATTTGGCAATCCGGAGGACTGTGTCCTTAAACTTGTGAGATCTGACCTTGCTCTAAGTGGTTAGGGTCAGAGGAAGAACTGCTGCATGTGCAGCTGGTACCAGGACAGAAGTGGAACACAGGGGAACAGAACTGATAGTGTGAACTTAATTGAATTGATCCTCACAAGTTTGAAGTGAAAAATGGGAATTTTGTATCTTCTCACTCAGTATAACAATAGGAATCTTAACCACTAAGGCTAAGCACACGTTACAGGGTCCCAGTATTTCTCCCAATTAGGATTTACAATTGAAAAAAACAGTAAGAGAAGATCTTACGGCACCAGAAATGCTAGCTATGGTCCTGAATGTTGAGTTTCAACCTTTGCTACCCTTCATTGTTAAACAATTTCCTGTTGATTTCTGAGAGTTCTCTAAAGATAGACTTATTTCTTCTTTCATCAAAAGCTAAACCTACAGTTCTTAAAATTTCAGCCTTTTATCTCAATAAAACTTAGATCTGGTTTTTGTAATCTAATGATTGTTGGCAGGAGCATGTAGGCTTTCATCCCAATTGCTGGACCATGATCACCGATGCACTCTGATTCATCTTGCTGGTGGATAAGATGAAATGTAAGAGTCTTTAGTGTTTAGATCTGTCTTTAACCCTTGACTCTAAAGACATGAACCAAACTATATGACTTGTCATTGATCAGATTTCTAACCTATTGAGGATTCAAGCCTGTGTCATCTTATATCATCATAACACAACTGCTACAACCAGAATGGAAAGTGGTAGTTGTTCAACAGATTAAATTCCTGGTTGAAATGGTATATGGATTAGCTCCTGTTCTATTTAACATATGCAAAATTCTTCACATTTTTTTTTAGGCAGAACTAACGTATACATATTTAATATTGTAGAATAAAATAAGTACTTTCCCCTATTTTGATTAGAGGGTTTTAGTACCATAAGACAGGAGACTTACAAACTGTCAAATCTCTTAGCTAATTTTAGTTTAAAAAATATAAAGAAAAAGAAGAGAGAGAGAGAAAGCAAGTAAAAGAGCCAAAGGAAGAAAAAAACAGAAGAAATAACAGAAGAAAGGAATATGCAACTCAACATTAAACATGGCTACCCTGGCAAAACTCAAATCACGGTTTCCGACAGAGTGTACTCCAACTTTAAATTACTTAACAGAAAATTTTAAAATCTAATATGCTAATTAACTTAGGCTCTTGGAGCTTCATTTTGTAGCTGTTGAAGTGGGTCTGTCAGCACTACTATTGCTTACCCAATCTCTACAGTGTTGTTTATAACATTAATAACTAATTATCTACTATACTGAGATTCTCTTGTATTT